TCAGGTCTTATTTTTAACTCATGGGGGGAGGGGGGGGGCGGGTGATATTGATTTGGATTTGGATTCGGATGTCTGTCTGTCTGTTTGTCTGTTTCTGTCTCTGTCTCTGTGTCTGCTTCTGTCTCTGTCTATCTCTGTCTCTTTCTCTCTCTTTCTCTCTCTCTCTCTCTCTCTTTCTCTGTCTCTCTGTCTCTCTGTCTCTCTGTCTCTCTCTCTCTCTCTCTCTCTCTCTCTCTCTCTCTCTCTCTCTCTCTCCTCTCTCCTCTCCTCTCTCTCTCTCTCTCCCTCTCCCTCTCCCTCTCCCTCTCCTCCTTCTCTGTATCACGCGCATACACGCATACACCACTTGTGTAACAACTATTGGTGATAAATCCCTATAAATCAGATGATTTAACATGAATATATGGAATGCATATATAAAATGTCATTTCAAAATTAGATTTACGTATTTTGCCTGTCTTTGTAACAAACTGACAGACCTTACTGCTACATAATTCTTATAAGATCAACACGCAGGATCAGTTTCTACGACAGTGTTACCCTGAGGCCACGCAAGATCTCAATAACATCAGAATAAACGTATGAAGCACAACGGAGGGTCCTTGATACATAGCTGGTGTGGATGTACGTATGAATCTTCAGCTACGTTCGTGTACATCGTTCAAGAAGCTTATGATGCGATAGGTCAAAGGTGTATATATAGACCTTGGAGAACGTATTGCTAAGTCCTCACACCTTATTAAAATTTCCTGCAATTAGAATGTATCTGGTAAGTCCTCAAATAAATGTAGGTGATCATCATCGTTATTTTAAGGAGAGGTCATCTTGCAGATTTGCCGTGACACCTTCTCAGCTGTTGCACGATCATTGACGTTTTTAGTATGATATATTAAGATACATTTTCACCGAAAAATATAATGAATGACTCATGCATGCGTGACTTCAAAAACTAAGCTTGGATATAATGAAGACTTGTATGAATTAATGGATCTGTAAATTGTAATAAATATCAATGAACACTTGTACATTTTAACTCAGAGACGTTAAACGAGCTATTAGATTTTTTATCGTATCTGATATACTAAAAGATGTACTTTCGTTACTTTTTAATGTTTAATATAATCTAAATGCTGTGATTATCAAATGTATCAAAACGGGTCCATGTCAGGGATTGCAAAGGAAGTTAGGAAAATATACATACTGCATTGCAGTTACGTCTCTTGATATATAGGCTGATAAACAGACATGAAGAAACAAACACACTCATATATGAGTGTGTTTGTTTGTGTGTATACATATATGCATAAACACACACACACACACACACACGCGCACACACACACACACACACACACACACACACACACACACACACACACACACACACACACACACACACACATATGTATATATATGCAAATTTATAAAAAACTGCAACTTTCCTCAAAAGGTCATTTCCCCAAACAGTTGTTCCCCTCCGAGTGTTTATTTTCCGCGTTGCATCGACCTCTCTCTCCTCGGCGCTCCTTCCCGGCTTCCCAAAATGGCGGACAAAGACCCCCGGCGGCTGGACCGGTTTCATTCATTCTAAAATGGCATTTCCTTTTTTTGAAGACTTTGCATCACTTCCGTGGTACTTCTTGGAGAGAGAGATGAGGGGGGGAGGGAGAGGGAGAAGGAGAGGGAGGGAAAGGGAGGGAGAGGGAGGGGGAGGGAGGGAGAGAGGGAGAGGGTTAGGGAGAGGGAGAGGGAGGGAGAGGGAGAGGGAGAGAGGGATGGAGGGAGGAGGAGAGGGAGGGAGGAGGGAGGAGGGAGGGAGAGAGAAGAGAGAGAGAATGTGAATGTGTGTGTGTGTGTGTAAACCGTGTAATAATTATTGTTAACAAAATTGACTGCTCATATCTGATGAATCAAATTCTTAATAACAACAACAACATATACTGAATTATCTCCAACATATTCAGCATACCTACAAACCAAAGAAAAAAGGTAATCAAATGACATAAAAAATTGCAATGACTTATATCAGACAATGACGATAGTAAGGTAGATACTAAAGCCAATGATGATGAGTGATTTTGTTAAATGTAATGATAATAATAATAATAATAACAGTTAGGGAGGTATATTTAAATTGTATTACAGAAAAGCTCAGAAGATGAAACAAAAGTTGCTAGGTTTCAGTTTCCCCGATAAGCTTATCGTGACAAACTCGTAAACAATCTCTCTCTCCCTCTCTCTCTCTCTCCTCTTCTCTCTCTCTCTCTCCTCTTCTCTCTCTCTCTCTCTCTCTCTCTCTCTCTCTCTCTCTCTCTCTCTCTCTCTCTCTCTCTCTCTCTCTCTCTCTCTCTCTCCCTCCCCCCTCTCTCTCGTAAACAATCTCTCTCTTTCTCTCTCTCTCTATTATTGGGTGTATATTGAGAAAACTTGCTATATAAAGACGTTCTTTACAAGTTATCGCGCCCCTCAGCTTCCGTAGGAGAAAAATAAAGGACACCTA